AGCTCATTGCATTGAAATTAAAAAATAAAAATAAAATCACCTTCTAATACTTAATTCAATTGGTTTTGAGATCTAACTTATGATTGCCTATAGCTCTCACTGTTTTTCTCCTTCATCTGCGTGTTCTGGGATGATGTTACTTAGCCAAATCAGACATTGATGTGCTCCTAGAGGTGTTTCCTTTGAGGTTTTTCTCATTGTCATTTGGAGGCCTTTTTGTTATCTCTGCTTCTGTGTACTGCCTAAAGCCTCGAATGGGACCCTTTGGTAGAAGCGCATCTATCTGACGATAAAACAGAGATTGGTTCCTAGCTGACCAGGGCATTGTGTTTGAGCATTTATCCTTTTGGTTTTCATGTCTGGGACCCTTTTCTTTTGTTTTTGTTTTTGTTTTGGGTGAGGGGTTTTGGGTGGTGGTGGCGAGGACGGCTCAGTAAGGCTTCTACTTGCTCTGAATGTAAAGGCCTTACCAAAAAAAAAAATAAAAAAAATCATATAATATTTATTGAGAAACATTAATTTACTGGTTCTATTTCTTAACTTTTCTCTCTTGTTCAGATGGAATCAAGTTGAGATGACTGAAAAATTCAGTCATTCACTGCTTATAGTTAATTTGCAAATGTTCACTTTTCTTTTTAAGCTACAATGCACAATATTTTAAAGCTCATTGCATTGAAATTAAAAAAAAAAAATCATCTTCTAATACTTAATTCAATTGGTTTTGAGATCTAACTTATGATTGCCTATAGCTCTCACTGTTTTTCTCCTTCATCTGCTTGTTCTGGGATGATGTTACTTAGCCAAATCAGACATTGATGTGCTCCTAGAGGTGTTTCCTTTGAGGTTTTTCTCATTGTCATTTGGAGGCTTTTTTGTTATCTCTGCTTCTGTGTACTGCCTAAAGCCTCGAATGGGACCCTTTGGTAGAAGCGCATCTATCTGACGATAAAACAGAGATTGGTTCCTAGCTGACCAGGGCATTGTGTTTGAGCATTTATCTTTTTGGTTTTCATGTTACATTTGCTATGCAGCTTTTATGAAGTGTCTGGTTTCAATGAGCTGATTGGAGCAATAGTTACGAGACAACGGAAATATATTTTATTTTTTTCCAGAAAGTTGAACACGTGCACATATTTACTACCTCATTCACCTTTGTTCATGTATTCATATTTATGTCGTCCAAACTTTTGTTGTAATTTCTTTTTTTATTTTTATCAATTTTTTTCCAGGTTATTGATAAAGTTCAGGACGAAACAAAGAGTCGTTAAGGTATTATATGCTACTAACATTTTCTGTCAGTTCTGCAACAAATAATCTGAAATTTGTCATATAATATTTCTCTTCATCTGTGCATGGCCAAATAGCCCTTAGTGCATAACCTGAAACTCATTATATTATATTTTTCTTCAATCTGCTCTGGCTAAAAGAATTTGTCATGCTTGCATGTAGTGTGTGAGCTAAGCGCTGTTAGATTACATGTTTATGGTTTGTGTCTAGAGTTTGTCGATGTGATTCATGATTTAACTTGTTAGATGCTGGACAATGTACCCAAGCCAATTTCCTATTCGTGGGGACAATGACTGGTGCAGAATGAAGAATGAGAATTCCCACATGGTGTTTAGTTAATGGGTTGTCGACATTCAAGTTTTTCTCTTTTCAGGAAAAAGTCAAGAAGAGAAGATTATATTATGGATGTGAGAAATATGTTTCTGGCACCACATTGCTAGTTTTCTATTTATTTAGAAACTAGATATCTTCCTAATTCTTTTGCATGTTGATTTGATTTTCAGATAGAAAACCACTTGGAGTTGGAGGTGGAAAAGGGACGAGGTAGAGATGACAGTGCTGCTGGAGACAATCAAAAGGAACTGGTCATGCTGTAGATGATGGTGCCAAAGGTGGAGGGAGAGGAAAGGGAATGTCTGATAGCAAATATTCTGATGACAGAGATATAAATTTACATTAATCTCTTTGTAATCTTGTTGTGAGGTAATCGACTGGGCTTGAAAGATTGAGCGATGGTTGGTGGAATAACTACAGACTTAACAATAGTTCGCACTTTAAGGTGTATATATATAATATTGAATAGAAAAGACCCAGTTGTCTATATATTGTTTTTAGGAGCATCCTAGAACAAAACCTGTCTTGTTCATACAGGCCTAGAATAACCACAAATAAGGAAAGTATGTTAAGATAGCCGAATTGCAACGATCGTCTTCCGTAATTATGTAGTATTAACTCACTTATACAACATATTACACATTAGCACAATATTGAATAGCTCACTTTTTTCATCTTCCTAGCAAGAACAGAGATGGAGCATGGACCTTGTCATTTCTGCAAGTATATGGAATCCTGGAAAGAAACCCTCAACCACACATTCTTTTCCTGGGGAAAAAGAAGAGAAAAGAAACATTTGTGCTTCTTGCTTGCAAAAATTAGATCTGCCTCTGCGCCATAATCAACAAATGAAAAACATAAACTGAATTGCTGAACTTTCATTGCCTCAAGATATGACAAAGTGGTGATTACAGCAATTTGACTTGTGATGCTTGTTATTCTTAAGCTTGCATAATTTGATTACTGGACTTGCATGAAGTCAAAGTGCAGCTAGTTAAAACTGCAGTGTCATTTGTGGCCATTTCTGTTGATTTAAGCTCCTGGTGTAAAAGTCCAGTTTGAATGTTGGAAATCCTTAAGACAGTCATAACTATTTATGTTCGGAATCATTTATCATAACATTAAAGGACTTGCTCGTTTCTTTTCTTATTTCATTTTAATTTAAGCAGAACTGATACTTCATTTGTTATCTTGATCCGTTCTTATTTTATGAATTGGATTTTGGTGATAGGTGGAGGCCATGGACATGGCTGATTGTTTATAAGCTGTGAAGCAATGATAGGTGAGGAGTGCCACTTTTATCGGCAAGATATGTGCACCAAGGTACAGAGCAGGAGAGAAGATCTTGTTTATTCTTTCCAGTGGCTCGAGCGTGTAAGATAAGATAAATGGTTGTTCAAGTAATAAAACGTGCTACTTTTACATTTGACTAGTGCTTATTTAAATTTGAATGAAGTGTAATTCTTCTGAGATTGTTGCACCTTTGACATGGTGGATCTTTTCTTTCATGGTTACGGAATACTTCACAAACCGCACAACTAGGAATATATTTTGTAAGCATTCAATAGAACTTGATAGTACGATGTACATAATCTTAACTTATTTTTCTTCTTTAGTAGCGTCTAGTCATTTTTACCAAGCACGTAGCTAATGTCTTTGAGTGATTTTATTAGATAACTCCAAAGTTTGAACTGTGTTGTAAATTAATACAATATATATAGTTTTGTATTTAGTTTTCAATTGTTCGCAGTTCATTATAATGTTTGAGAATGTATTATTTGGTTTCTTTTTGTATTTCTCTTCTTCTTTTAGGACTTTATTGTCCATGAATTGGACTGAAATGAAATATATAATAGCTACACAATTGAACAGTTATGGAAGTGTTATTCAAAATAAAAAATATCTTACAAACTACGAGCATCTTAACAAATAAATAAATTTAATAAGTGGGCCCTTCGTACTGTGATAATAGAATGAGAAAAGTTGGACAGGTTAGTCTTCATCGTCGGGATTCAAATTCTTCAGACATCAACAATCTTAATATGGATTTCTTGTAGGGTCGATGTTCGAACTGTATATTCATTGACAAAATGGTTTAGGATAACCCGTTATCCTCTGGTGGTATCATCTCGTGCATAAAAAAATCTTAGAAACTTGTTCAAATTATTATTCGTTCTAATTTCAACGAATCATTGTCACACGATAACAACTTTGTCATTACAATACAAATAGACGAATTGTCTCTATTATAAGTTTATGGCTTGTACTTTGCAAGTGGAGCCCCCATCCATATTTCACAGAGAGAGAGAGAGAGATTCCTTTGCATAAGAATCATATGCAAATCCTGCTTCTCTGTATAGTTTAGTTGGTGCATCGAATTATAATTTACAGAGCAAATATGGCGGATATCAAAGAAGATAAAGGTCATGCCCAGCAGCAGCACTTGGGTCTTGCTGTTGAACCTCCAAAAATGGAAGAAAAAGAAGAAGGGAGGGAGCAGAAGAAGACTCAAACCAAACGCGTGGCTTCGCTCGATATTTTCAGAGGTCTCACAGTTGCTGTATGTAATCTTTCATTCTTCAGCTTTTTTAACTTTAGACTTCGTTTAAATTGATAACGCCCAGCCCCAAAATACTACTGGGGAATTTTTTTTTCAGAAGGTCTTGTTTTGATGATGTAGACTAAGAATAGCAATTTCTTTAATTATTTGTCAAAATAACTCTTATCATCTTAGAATTGAAAAATGTTAGTCTTACTTTAATCGACAATAACCTTTAGCTAAAGTTGCTGGTATCGAGCTAAATTGGGCGTATTTGGAGAGTTGGCCATCTTGACGAGTTGGATGAATTGAAGTGAAAATAAAAAAAACTATATTAATTCCTATCTAAATAAGGAATACAAATCATCTATACAGTTTAACTCTCCCCCTTGAGTTAATGTATGGATATCACACATCTTGACGAAGCTGAACGTCAAGGGAGAAGCCCTTACATGGACGAACTATCCACCATGTAAGGAAGTGTGGGCGCCTAGGAGGAGAGGATCAAAATCCCTAAGGGGATCACCTCGGCCCGGCTTATGTATTGAATGGTCCGCTAGCAACAATGTCAACCATTATATTAGTAATCATCTATACATATTAACTCTCTCTCTCTCTCTCTCTCTCTCTCGTTAGTGCTTGGATATCATACACGCCCAACTTAGACAATAATGCATAGAATGGTCCATTAGCATCGGCATGTTACTCAACTGAACCTCTATACTCCCACAGTCAAGGTTATCCTTGATGTAGATCTTGTCAAGTTCAACGTGCTTGGTTCAAACATATACAAATAATCTACACATTCTAGCTATTACAAGTAGTACATACTGGAAACTTGGGGATGAAGGAGAATGGGTGAATTTGCTGGATGATGTGAATGCACATCCTTATGTCTCTTTGACTCTTTCCCTATTAATTTGATTTAATATTTTGCATTGTAATTGTCATAGTGAATTTTTCAAAAGAAGTGTTCATTCATAACGATAGACTTTGCATTTGCATGATACAGAAGGTAGAGCCATCCGTAGGTCCAAGATTTTCAGTCCATAGTTGCTTTTAAAGCATCTTTTTTTCGTCTATGAAGAACAGTTTCGGATTTTTAAAAAATAAGACTTTTTGTAAAAGAATTTTAAAAGGTCCTTCGTTTTCATTTTCTCTCACTACATTGGTCCTGCTTAAGAAATTTCGTCTATAGTTATAAGTACAGCACTATGGTAAAATAATATTTATAATAATAGCATATAAGATGAAGGTCGTTCATTTCATTTTGTCTCAGTACCTTATTCTTTCCATTGTTTCTGTCTCATTTATCTTTATGTTATCATTTCTGACGTTGCAGTTAATGATTTTGGTTGATGATGCTGGGGGTGAGTGGCCTATGATCGGGCATGCTCCATGGAATGGATGCAATCTTGCTGATTTTGTCATGCCATTCTTTTTATTCATTGTGGGGATGGCCATTGCACTTGCTTTTAAGGTTTGTTTTATGTCCTTCGTCGGGTATATGATTTTGAAACGTTGATTTTTTAATTTTCATGCATTGATTCTTGGTTGTTCTGTGAATAGAGAATACCAGATAGGTTAAAGGCCATTAGTAAAGTGATTTTAAGAACTCTCAAACTGCTTTTCTGGGGCCTCCTTTTACAAGGTCAGTTTTTTGGCTTTATATCCTTCATAATCTTTTATTTTTCTTCTGAAATTGTATATATAAATAACCTATGGGACACCATGTTTCCCATTTGTAGCTGTCAAATATAAGAAATAGGAAGTTTAAGACACGCACATATTCCTTTCATCACATCTTGACAACACTCTAGGAGAATATACTTGAATTACATTTCACATAAGCACATTGTATTGAACCACTTGATCTAATAGCTTTAAAGGTTAGAAAGGGTCATATGTATATCATTTAAATAATGTCTTCAACACATTGTCTTACATGTAGGCAATGTCATTTTTCGCCTTCAAACCCTAGAGGGTGCAGTGACACTTGAACCCACAAATTTATAAACCATATCGAATCACTTGATCTAAAAGTTTTAAGTTTTTGATAGAGCCACACGTGTTTCATTTATATCTTGTCTTCAATACATGATTTTATGATGATGCTTCACCAGGCGTAAAAAATAAAAGAAAAAGGTAAAAATGAGGCTTCCCATGTCATAGGCAGATAACAACGAAACATAATCTAATGCTTACTCGATTTCTTATGTAATATAGGAGGTTTCTCACATGCTCCTGATAAACTAACGTATGGTGTTGACATGAAAATGATTAGGTGGTGTGGAATTCTCCAGGTAATGTTTATCCTCACCTTGTACATTTGGGAAGCTCGTCTTAATTCATTGAATGTGTTATAAGAAACTTATTTTGTGTTCCCAGAGAATAGCTCTTGCTTATTTCGTTGTGGCTCTAATAGAAATCTTGACAAGAAATACCCAAGCAAAGAGTCTATCACCCGGACGATTTTCTATATTCAAGTTATATTTTTGGCATTGGTGAGTGTACTTTTGATCTTCTTTAATATTGGTGACAGTATTTTGATACTTTTAAGTTGACTATATTTTATAATTTTCAGGGTCATGGGAGCATGTGTTTTAATTGTGTACTTGGCCACACTATATGGAACTCATGTTCCTGATTGGCAGTTTACTGTGCAAAATTCCGATAGTGCTGAGTTTGGGAAAAAATTAACTGTAAGCTCTTTTGTGCTCATTTATCAAGTTAATCTGAATTCCTAATTTCCTATGGGAGGGTTTCTTGTAAATCATTAGGTTATAGCTATAAATACCATTTTTGAACTTTAGCCGGAAATATACTTGTACGTTAAAAAATCTACGTTTCAATTATAGATTCAAAGTCTTATCATTCCAATTACACTTGACAACTTGGACCATCGATGCATGTTATGTATGTAAGACTTTACAATATAATAATCAAGATTTAAGCTTATTTGTCTGGTTCTGACCTTTATCCCCAAACCCACAATGATTGATTCTGGGATGGAAATGCCCTCTTCCCCCAACCAACACGGGGGCTAGCTTGCTCCCACTGGTGTTTGTTACTACTGTTTAATACTATCTAATGTAAAGGGAAAATACATTCTTGATTAACAGGTAGCTTGTAATGTGAGGGGAAAATTAGATCCTCCTTGTAATGCAGTAGGTTATGTAGACAGAGAAGTGCTTGGAATCAATCATATGTACCCACATCCGGCTTGGAAGCGATCCAAAGTGAGTAATTTTATTCTGTGTTTATCCTCTTTATCTATTATTTTCTTTTATCAATTTATTTGATCATTCGTTGCTTTTTTTATTGTGAATTTATCCTCTCTGTCTATTATTTTCTTTTATCAATTTATTTGATCTTTCGTTGCTTTTTTTGTTCAGAAATTGTCTTATATGATATGAAATCGTGCAGGCTTGCACTAAGAATTCCCCTCACGAGGGGCCTTTCAGGAGTGATGCTCCACCCTGGTGCTATGCATCTTTTGAACCTGAAGGACTTCTGAGGTGGGTTTATAGAGCATAAACACCAATTTTAAAATTAGAAATGGCCATTACCTGGAGTGATAGAAACTTCAAATGCTGTTTTCTGCTTCTCCCTTCGATAGATTGGAGTGTGAGGGATAAAATAAGAGGCATGAACCATGGTCAGTCGATGCAGTGAAACATCAAACAAGATCTTAATTGATTATTAACTCAATTTCACATCATTAAGTGAACAAAGTGCACTGCTTTGATTTAGCTACTAAGAAAGTTATTTACAAATCTATTATTGTTTCCTTTCGTACTGCAGCTCAGTTTCTGCCATTCTCTCCACCATCATTGGAGTCCATTTCGGACACGTGTTGGTACACATGAAGGTTTTTCCTTAGCTGGTCCAACATTGTGATTTTGACGAATTTTATAGGGGTCTCACTGCAATCTCGTTTATGTTATGATTTTAGGATCATTCAACTAGACTTCGACATTGGGTTGTTCCGGGTCTTGCTCTTCTGATTTTAGGGATTATCCTTCATTTTACGGATGGTGAGGTTTGAAGAACCTTAAATGGACGGAATTTCTGCTTTGATTTTTTCTGAGTACTCTTCCTTGTATAATTTGTTTACTTGCAGCTATTCCTTTAAATAAGCAGTTGTACACTTTCAGCTATGTTTGTGTAACGTCTGGAGCAGCAGCATTAGTATTCTCGGTTTTCTACATTCTGGTGCACTTTCAACTTTGAAATACGCTAATTCTACATTACTATCTTAGTGTAGTTTGAGCTGCCAGTCTTTTTCAGATAAAGATTCATTCTCCCTTTTTTTTTGCAGGTTGATGTTTTGAATTTGAGGTACATGTTTTTGCCATTGGAATGGATTGGTATGAATGCTATGCTTGTTTATGTAATGGCGGCCGAAGGTATCTTTGCCGGATTCATCAACGGGTGGTATTACGATAATCCCCATAATACACTGGTAATTTTCAAGTTATAAACGTCTGTTGCCTAGTTTGTGTAATTGCATTCTGATATTCTGATGCATATATGAAATTATTACATTCTCTTAGCGTTGATTATTCAACTGTTTAAAACAATCTTTGCAGATATATTGGATACAGAAGCACATTTTCATCAATGTTTGGCATTCAAGAAAAGTGGGCATTCTACTTTATGTTATCTTTGCTGAAATATTGTTTTGGGGCATTGTTGCTGGTTTATTGCATCGGTTCGGGATTTATTGGAAGCTTTAGTTGCAGATTTAATAATCGTTCAAAAATGTAGCACTTGCAATTTCGATTTTCAATTTTATAGACTTAAAAATTGAGTTTGATTCTTAAAAACTCGCTAGGGTTGAGTAAGTTCATTGTTTAAGAAACATGTTTTCAGATGTCGCACAATATAATTCAACCCTAATGTATAGAAACTAGAGGTATTTAAGGACAAGATTGAGTGGGCAACTCAAATTTTCATATGGATTGAGCTCTCCAATCCGCAGTCAAGTACATTAGTGTGATGCCGTGATGGTATTTTAAACCTCGATGAATTTAAAACTAAATTAAGGTACATTTCCAGTACTCCGAGAGGACTCGACAAATGATATATGATAGTGTAACGATTCATTATTGACAAGTCCTCTCGAAAGCTACACATATATATTTGTAACATAAAACTTGTCTATAACATATACTTTATTTTGTTAGGACGTTGTGGTACGGGGCACACAATTACAACCAGGGACGTAGCGAGGATTTCAATCTTGTGGGGGCGAAAATACAGGGTGTGGGCCCCCGTCCCGAGGGTTCGGGGGCGGAGCCCTTGAAGTTTTTGTATCGACAAACTGATTGTCTTTTTGGTTAGTCAATCTAACTTGCATATTTTGATACTCAAAAAAATATGTCCATCTATGTGTCCAATGCTATACAAATTGAAAACATGAACGTTAAATGGATATTAAAAAGACAAAAAGTAAATTGCTTATTTATATAACAAATGAGAGAGATAGTTTGGACATCTGAAATTGGTCTCTCCTTGTTTTCATCACTTCAAACTCGTCAATAAGAGAATCCAATGGAAAAGTATCAACAATCTCCTTCTCTATATACACAAGCAAGATATTGGACAAAAAATCATCTTCCGTTCTATTACGCAACCTTGTCTTAATGNTATGACGCAACTTTGTCTAAATGACACTCATAGATGATAATGCACGTTCTGATATTGTTTTTGAACCTTGAAGAGTCAAGACAAGACGAATCAATCTATCATCAAGATTATAACTCATTGATTTTCTTGTCAATGCCAACAATTGGCACACATCGGGAAGTGTTATCAAATTTTTAAATTGAGAGTTTCGCTGAACTTATAGTGTAAGTTATTGAGTCAATATTTATTAATGTGAAAAAAAATTCAAAAATTTGAGGGGGCAAGTCAAAATTTTTGCGAGGGCGAAACTGAAAAATACACTACAAATTAACTAGGAATAGTGGACCAGCGGACAATGTTGGGGGGTGGTCGCCCCCTATCTCCATCTCTGATTACAACTGAAGTAGAAGTGAAAAATAATGAACACCAAAATTTTACATAGAAAAATCTCCAAACTAATTGGAGCAAAAAATTACGAGCAAATTGTAGAAGGATTTCATTATAACAAAATGATTACAAGAATTTCTTTTTAAAGTAAGGAGAGCACAATTGACAATACACTTTCTTCTACCAAGAGGAAAAAAATATACACTCTAATAAAATAAAAGACAATATGTATGAGAAATCTCACTATTTTTCTCTCTAAAAACTCTCTCTTTCTCTACATTTTGCCCCCAAAATGGGATAATAAATTGAAGTATATATGCATGTATATATAGAGAAGAAAGATGGTTTGGCTCTTGGTTGGCAATGTGAATTCAAGTTGTAAACAACTTGATATAGCTGTCTTTTACAAGAAAATGACACACCGTTTTTATTGACCAATTCTAATATTTAATGGAGAAGCAAAATTGCTTCTTATTTAATTAATTTCTTTGACCAACAAAATTGTTTCTTATTTCTTTATCAAATTGACTTGCTTTGACCCACAAAAGTGGCTTTACCACCACATTTTCGAGGGTTCCAAACGATCACATGTCAAGGAGGACATCTTAGATTGTGCTGGATTTGGGTTAGGCCAATACATGAGGATAGTCCACTTCAGCTAACCACCTCTCATGAGGGGCATCTAGAATATGTTCGTAATTGAGCTAGACGAAATGAAAGTCCAGACAATATTATTTTAATTTACACTTACACGCAGCTCATGTGTGGGCCTGAGCGACTTGATTCAAAATTTTAAGAAAAATATACATTGCCCTGCATTGTCTTGATCCATTAGGGAATCGAGGAGGGAACGAGAACATGATCATAATTCGAAACTTTTTTTAATTTTTAAAAAAATTTATACCATATTTTAAAAAGTAAATACATAAGAAAGTGATCAATAAATGAAAATATTACCCCTTCATGTAGCTCGAGAATTACTACGAGATGAGAGGATAGGTAAGGCTTCGCGATTTCGTTGAGCTGTGTTTTAATCTCTAAATTTTATCCTTTAATCACGAATGTTTTGTAGTTTTATACTAAAATCACAACTTTCCAGTTTTTTTTTTTTTTTTTTGAGTGTGTACTCATTTTCTACTACATATTTTTGAGGGGAAAAAAAAAATCTTTATCAAGAACATAGCTTTCCTCGTGAACACGACACTACAACCAGGCTCTTCTACCATTTCTCCCCAAATTCTCCCAAGTTCCCTCTCTCTACACGAACACGGTTAGGCGGAGTTGATAAAAAATGGCGACGCCTATGGTAGAAGACAGCAACTTCGAAGATGACCAGCTCTCGTCTATGTCCACTGACGACATTGTTCGAGCCTCTCGCCTTCTCGACAACGAAATCCGAATCCTCAAGGTTTTTCTGTCTCTCTCTCTTCCTGCGTGAGAAATTAGATTATAACTTTGTCTTGTCACGTGATATACATCTTAATTTCTTTAGGAAGAGTTGCAGAGAACGAATCTGGATTTGGATTCGTTGAAGGAGAAGATAAAGGAGAATCAAGAGAAAATCAAGCTCAATAAGCAGCTCCCTTATTTAGTCGGCAACATCGTTGAGGTACTTACTTCAGTAGGGTTTTAGTTTTGCCAAATCTTTATTGCGATATATTCAATTAGGGATTTTGCATTTTCTTGTCCGGTTGTGTGGAATTAATTGAAATGTCTAGCAAATTGAGATAGGAGACATTTGGAACACTGGATGCGGGATTTATGTTTTGATATGTCTCTTTATGATGACTACGGAAAGCAAAGGGAATTTGAAACTACATGGGATGAGGAAATAAAGTTTTCTGGTTTCTGTGTAGTTCAGTATGAAAGCAAGGTCATGGAAAGAAATTCCTAATAACTACATATCATGGGAATTAAGAGCATCATTATGATTTTGCCTGGACACTTTGAAATTAAGGTGATTCTAACAGCACCGTATGATTTATTACCATAGAGAATGCCTTCTCGTCTATTATACTGACTTGTAGTTTAATAGAAAGAAAGTATAGAACCACCTAATAAGTGGACATATTACACTAAACACATGGACAATAACCGCTTAGGGGTTACATAGCACCAAACAACTATAAATACTTCAAAGGCATGCCAGGTTTAAGGATCTTTTTCACAATATCATTCTAGCTTTCTCCCCTTTTTTTTAAGTTATTTTTTGGCAAACTCAATCACTAATTCTCACGTCGGAGGTACAACGGAGAAGATAGTCTCATCCTCTTCTTGTAGGTTTTTCATTATTCGTTGGAGTAGCAAAGGCCGTCTTGCTCCGCTAAAAAAGTCAAAAAGTTGTCTCGTTATTATTTCAGCTACTAAAATGAGTTTAATGTTTTTCATTTTACCAATAGTTTAGGCAATACGTATGGTAACAGGTGTAATGTGGAGATAGTTTCCCATGTATTTTTTCTAGCATCTAGAGGATCTTTTCTCCTCATATTTTGTATTTCTATAGTTGATTTCATTACATAATCCTTTTGGAGAATTGGTGATGGTGGAAAAAGGCATTGACCTTTAAGGATTATAAGAGGTTATTCAGATACTACTCCAAGACTGAAGAAACGCAGCTTGCTCAAAATCTTTGTTAATTACTTTTTTGTTTCTAATCACGAGTATATGTTAGAATTCAGGTTATTCAGTTGTTTGGTCAATTTGTGGTTCTAATAGTTTAGTCAAGTCCATGTCCTTTTAGGAATTTATAATCACAGATTATTTTTTGTAATTTAGGTTAGAATTTTTTTGGTAATCTTTATGCTTGTGATCACATTAGGAGTTGTAAGTTAAGTAATAGTGGAATACTAGGAATAGTCTTATTCCTTAACTATGTATAACTTAAGAAGAACGGATTCAAATACGATACAATACAAGTACACCGATGCAACTTTTTAACAGAAATTAGGTTCCACAATTACATGTATATATGTATATGCGTGTATAGTATTCTTCATAAGTTAAGTATAAAATTCGGCATAATTCCATTATTGAAATCAGGCAATAAAAATAAAATAAATACTAAAGCGTGTTATAATTCTTAATCGTTCTAACTTAATTTTCATCAATATAAGACCATCAATCTCTTCATTTTCATTAAAAACAACACTTAACTTTGACTCATCTATTGATAAATTAGCAACTTTGAGTAGCACAACACCTTCAAGAGTATTAAATGAGTCTCCAACGATGTCTCACGTGTTGGATTCTTCTTTGAACAAATATTTAACTTTCTTCATAAAAGACGCAAATAGTTATGAATGAAACCAATTCTTGAGCTTATTGTGGAGTTAGTTTATTCATTCTCATTGATTACACAAAATAGTAGGTGCTCATTTTTAATTAATAAATATTATTTATTATTAATAAGTTATTGATAATAATAGTAGTTATCTATTAAATAAAAAAATTGTCATTTATTGTCGTTAAGAGTTTGAAATTGATAAAACTCTTCTTCATGTGTCCTAAGGTGTCTGGTATTGGAAATTTAATAAATTTACAAAATATAAAATAATTAAAAAATACGTATTTTGTACGTATTGGAGAGCGTTGAAGCGTATCCAAGCTTGGATACGTATTGGATATGGGTACACAATAAATTTACAAGTATCTGTGCTTATTAGTGTATAGAAGCATCGTGTGCCCTGATTTGTTTTAGTTTTCCCAGTTTGCTACGTAATACTGAATGAAATCTTAGGCTGAACTAAATTGTAGTATCCTTTATTTTTCAGGAGTTAGCTCTGGCTTTCTGTCCAGTTTAAACAGAATGACTTTAGAAGTATCTGTGTCCAATCGATGACTTTTATGTGATTCCTGCAAATTGAGTTCATCGATTAGTGTCATTGTCTTAAATGGTAAGTTGAGATTGGAGATTTAATGTGATGAGTACTAATTTTGTTTTCTATATTTGTCAGATTTTGGAAATGAACCCAGACGATGAGGCTGAAGAAGATGGTGCAAATATTGATCTTGACTCTCAAAGGAAGGGTAAATGTGTAGTACTAAAAACATCCACACGCCAGGTAAGATATCTTGGGTACATGCATTTCTTTCTGTGGGTGAGAGACTGTGCATCTGCATCTGTGTTTGTACGCGTGTTTTTCCATTTCATTTTTCTAAATCAAATAATCATTTCCTGTTTGTTTTAGTTTAATGTTTGCTTGAAGAAGTGTAGTTGCATGGTTGTTGATGTTTTCAAATTGGTGGGCTTGGCAAATGAGTGTTAAGAACATAGAGTCCTGCATAATAATTGACTATCAGTAGTTTTCATTGAAATCTGAAAGTGATCAATTCCTCTTTGTCGGTTTAAGCTTCTGCCAATGGAAAGTGATCTGGTTAACATAGAATATGTAATTATTCTTTGTCAAAAGATCACGTCATGTTTTTTTAATCTGATTGAATGGAAATCTGAAAATGAGAACCTGATAAAGTCACGCAGAAGCTTAACATCATAAAGAGTGTTAAGCTACTGAAGTTGATAATTATCTTGATAGAATTAATAGGCTATACTATTGATAATGGAAATCTGAGAGTGATCATGTTAATGTATAGATGGTTATAACTGTATTAAGAAAATTAATATATCTTTGTCAAATGCAGACAATTTTCCTGCCTGTAGTAGGTCTTGTTGATCCTGACAAGTTGAAGCCTGGTGATCTGGTTGGAGTAAACAAAGACAGTTACTTGATATTGGATACTTTGCCATCTGAGTATGATTCTCGTGTCAAGGCGATGGAGGTTGATGAAAAACCAACAGAAGACTATAACGATATTGGCGGCCTGGAGAAACAGGAAAGCTTATTTCGTTGTGATCTTTTGTTATGATCAAATTCTTTTCAATCTCATTTCATACATTAATATTTTGCTGATACTTTATTTTGATCTCTACAGATTCAAGAACTAGTTGAGGCAATTGTGTTGCCTATGACACACAAAGAAAGATTTCAGAAATTAGGAGTTCGTCCGCCCAAGGGAGTCCTTTTATATGGACCTCCTGGAACAGGGAAAACTCTAATGGCCCGTGCTTGTGCTGCTCAAACAAATGCTACTTTTCTTAAGCTAGCAGGTCCCCAACTTGTACAGGTATACTACTTATAAGATTATTCGTCATGCTTTCTGATTCCTGTTGTCTTTACATAGTGTAACAGTGATCTTTACTCTTGAAGATCTGAATTTTGGAACCAGTTACAGACTCATCATGCTCTCTGATCCATGATATTTATTAACTTTTTATGTGATTTGCACATAGAATGATAAAAAATTGTTGTGGTCCTAGATGTTTATTGGAGATGGTGCAAAACTGGTTCGGGATGCTTTTCAACTTGCAAAAGAAAAATCTCCTTGCATCATCTTTATTGATGAAATTGATGCTATTGGGACAAAGCGTTTTGACAGGTAGGTTAGTTCTCTTCAGTTTCGATCTGACTTCAAATTCTTCCTGGTTCTTGATGTCCATGTGATTTTGGGAGCTGTTGGCACTGTGACTGCTAATTACTGACATTTTTTTTATACTTCACAGTGAAGTTAGTGGGGACCGAGAGGTGCAACGGACCATGTTAGAGTTGCTTAATCAGCTTGATGGTTTTAGCAGTGATGATCGGATCAAGGTTATTTCTCTACTGTTTTAATCATGCATTTTCCATAACTTGTTTGTTCCCCTTTTTGGTGGCATGGGGATTCCTTTGAAATACTCACTTCCTTTTGACCTTTGATGGGTTTTCTGCTGTTATTCATTTTTATGTCCAAAAAGACGTGGATGTGTTTTTGTCAATATCACCCTAAACCCGTCAATTTCAAGTATTTATACTTGGTGATATTCTGAAATTCTTTGGTGTCTACTCTAATGTCAAAGGTGATCGCAGCAACAAATAGAGCTGATATCTTGGATCCTGCCTTAATGAGGTCTGGTCGATTGGATCGTAAAATTGAGTTTCCGCACCCCACTGAAGAAGCCAGGGCTAGAATCTTGCAGGTATGACTGCCAGACTGACTTTCATTCCTTCAAATAAAATTTCCTGTGGTTCTGCATCAGTAGTCATTGTTTCTCATATTTAATATAAAATACCCTTGACTACTGAAGTTTTAAGTCTCTTATCTTTGCTGCATCTTATTATAGATCCACTCCAGGAAGATGAACGTTCATCCAGATGTCAACTTTGAGGAACTTGCTCGTTCAACAGATGACTTCAATGGGGCGCAACTGAAGGCTGTCTGTGTCGAAGCAGGCATGCTGGCTCTACGCCGTGATGCCACTGAGGTCTCTCTCTCTCTCACACACACACACAGACACAGGGAGGCATACTTGCACGCCCTGTGCGGTCTGCCTGACCAGTGAAGTTGTGCGCTCCTTATGTCTCCAGGGGCTGAGCTCCTTGGGTGTTGGGACATGACACGGCGCAGTTGGGCCCCCAAATTCTGAATATTTACCCTAACCCTATGACTTCTAATACTTATTTTATTGAGGTCTGCCATCTGTGAGTCTCACCCCAAAGGAGAAAAGAAATGAACATATTTTTGACAAAGCTATTGAGAATTTGTTATAGCCTCAGTATTTTCTTGGTGATTCTTAATTTCTGATAATCTTAGGACACTGATTTTCAGTTTCTTCTTTAGTTAACACGAATTTCAAAACCTTGACTAATTCATACGTGAAGACAACTACCTTAAGAAAGCAGTTTATATTCCCTTGTTTTGCCTTGAAGTCTGAAGACAGTCCAGATCTTGAGAAGAATTTAAATCCATTTAAATTAATACGGATCCTAGCCATCATTAAATAAGTTTTCTTACTATGGAAATTGTTTAGATTTGGTCATCACCTTTTTAAAGGAAAAATCGGGTTGAATCTATGAGTGAGATAAGACTAAGAACAAATATTTTACCAGTGGGGACTAACTGCAAAAATCTGTTCCGCCCCTCCTTTCTGTTTCTAGATAAAATAACTGAACTTGGATATATTGATTTGGTTTTTCCAGGTGAACCATGAAGATTTTAATGAAGGTATAATCCAAGTTCAAGCTAAAAAGAAGGCGAGCTTGAATTACTACGCATAGTTTCACCTGGCTTCAAGGTACAATATCCGCTCAAGATAACCTTTTCTACTTTGAAGTTCAAATTACTGATCTGGTCTAAAATTGAGATAGATCAAGAACCTTTCGACTCCTTGGCATAAAGAACAAATTACAAAAATGGAGTTTAGTTTCAGAAGACGGGCTACCTTTTATATTATGCTGCTCCATTTGCATTTCCTTTTTGGTCTTTGAATTAACGGTTTATATGTGAACTTTGAGGCTTGATTTATTTTAAATTTATAATTCCGATGTTTGTGGTTCTATTTTTTGAAGGTTCTTAGAAGCATATTATTAAGTATTTTACTGGCGTATTAATGACGACCCTGGACTCAAGGATGAAAAAATGTTTTGACTTAGTAAATGTAAAATCGACACGAATAATGCTGAGTGTACAGTGTTACGTTTGCGTCACACTAGTCCCACAAAGGCTTTTGGTGGGCTTATTGGTGCATACCACGGTGGGGCCTACGGCTGGGGTGAAGTCATAACAATGTAGCCGTAGGGGGAACCTTTAAGAATGTATCTGTCGTTACGTGTGCCTATGTCCACTATAGAAAGAAAAAAGAAAAAAAAACTTAATTTTCAGCACAGTTTTACAGAAGAATTGGCATTTTGCCTTGCCTTTCTTAGAGTTTGAAATCCATATCCAACTTGATCTAACTTGAATTTGACTTCATCTCCAGCCTCAGAACCAAAAACCTACATGGAGCTTGGTCATCCTAGATGAGATGAAGTTTGGCATTCGTTAGAGCTGCTCTCCTAGCACGTACATGTTGGACATGGCCCTGTACGTGTAGCATTGTTCGACACAATGGACATTATAAGATTTTGAATAAAAAATAGTTTAATTAAACAATCATGTTATATGTATATTATGGATTACATTAAGTTTGATATTTTTTCATGGGTAAGTAATCTACACCATTGATTTTAAAAACATCTATCTTATCACAGACCAGATTTCTTTCACATATGGGAAGTCTCAAACTCATCAAAATGGAATGTACATCTAGCTTTATTTTTAATTAAATCAGGTAAAAAAAAAAAAAAGTCTTGTTTCACGGGAGCTTTCCTTTTAGAACTATTTTTAATCATATAAATAAGGTCTTAATTAGAATGGTCAAACAAATTTATTACAAATTATAATCTTCCCAATCCAATTGATCTTTGCTATTTGTACGTTGATCTTTTATATTTTGGTTGACGTTTCTATTGTTGTCAAATGTCAATTGGATGAGAAAAATATTTGAAATTTAAACTGCCCAATTGAGTGATACCAAAAGAAAAAGTGCCATCTGGACATTCCTTCAGTAATTAACGTCCAATGTTTGGATAAATTCAATGATCAAATATACGTATTTTAAATTTCAGTGAGTAATCGAAGATACGAACATAAGCTTGGTGATTATTAGGACAATTAACTTAAGTGAAAATTGTACCGGATAAAGGATAAAGTGTAAAATGATGTCAAACGACACTATTTTTAAGGAGAAAAAATGAATAAAAGAAAAAAACTGAAAATAACTCCCAACATAGGTTCAATTTAGCCAATACTCGACAAATTTTTAAATTGAAATACGATTTTTAGAAAACCTAAACCGTATCATTTAAAACAGTTTGCGATTTCTCAAAGCTAAACCTAATTGTTTGGTCCTGTTTTGGTAGCCTCTACTTTTTCTTGTATTTCCTTTATAGTCACTATTTCAATAATAATAAAATATTATTTTACGATTTATTGATAAACAAAAATCAGATATATCAAACTACAGATTTAGATACAAATAAAATCAAAGAAAAGTATTAACAATTGGGTTATAGAATCAGGTTTTTTAATTTTTGGTATTTAGTATGGACAATTTACCAAACTATTAATTTTGTATTAAAATTTAAATAGTTATATTTCATTTTAGATGTTTAGATTATAATTTGAGTCTAATTTCTGCAAAAAATAAAAATAAATTAAAGTTCTTATTTTTATTTTAAACCGTTCAATTTGATTTCAAATCACCATTAAAATTTCTAAACCTAAACTAAACCGTTATAGAACAATTTGACTTGTTTCGAAATTATTTCATCAATGAATCCACGTGACACTAAGCCCCTCTTTCGGTAAAAATTAAATTCGGATTTTTATTAAATTTTAATAAAAGTTGATGAAATATAAATTTAATTAAATTATAATTCAAATTAAACATGGGCTAAAATAAAAAAGTAATTTCAATCTGACAAGTTTTGCTTATAGCGTGAATTGTAAGACACAAATGTTTAGGACATGGTACTATACTAATAATATTTATAATTACAAAAAGAATAAGAAAATATAAAAACACGTGGTCAAATGAATAAGCAATTTCGATTTGATTTTTCATTTGCAAAGTCTGCTTTCTCTTCCCCTTTCCTTCGCATCCTTTCTAATTCCTCCTATAAAACCGATCCGATTTCGCATTTCGTTGTATATTTACGCTTTCTCTCTCTAAATTGTCATCAACACACCGCGTTAGATTCTGCACCCCCGCGTTTTAGCCTAAACATATGGCGGAATCCACCACCAATACCAACTCAAAATTTGAATCAATCAGACAATGGATCGTCCAACACAAGCTCCGTACAGTTGGTAAGGTTTTAGATATATCAAATGAACATTTTTTAATTTTTTTTTTGGTTCAATTTTATTACGATTTTGTCAATTATAAAGTTCTTTTTCCTTGAATGTTACGAACTGATCTGGATTTGCGAATGAAGTTTTAGGATTGAATTCTTTACGCTGATGTAATTATTGATTTGTATTTCTGCCGTTGATTTGAATTTGTAAATTGAAAGGGACTCTGTGGGCGAGCGGTGTAATTGGATCCTTGGCTTACAATTGGTCTCAGCCTGGCAAGGCTAGTGTCAAGATCATTCACGCTAGGTAACCTTTTTTTGTCAATCTTCATCAATAAATCTAATTCTTCGTTTCCGGGATTTATATAGTCATTTAAAATTGTGGGTTGATATCATAAACTTTCCATAGCCTCTATGATGTTTTAATCAGTTGCTTGGTTTATTGAAATTGAGTGATGCTTAAAAGAAGTAAAAACGAATGATTGGTGTTTGTCCATTGTAGAATGGATAGGCTAACATTTGGGAGTGAATCGATAAATTAAGGGAATGAAGATTTAGATGGTTTGGGCATATCTTTAGTCAATTCAACGAAGCTCCTGTTATTCAGAAGACTGGGGATGTAGATCAAAATTAGCACGGCATTCTACTTGATAATTAAATAGGCCTCAGAATGATTCCTAAGTTTCAACTGTTTCGAAACAAACCAGTGGATTGAGATGTTGAAGTTATATGACAAATAATAATGAAGTGTACGATCAAACAAAAGAATAATAAAGACAAGAATATGACAGATGAATTAAGAGATTTTATTGACTCAAAAATAATGGATAAGAGCGAAAATTACAATATATCATATAATTCTACAATAAAATTGTATAGAAGAATCTAGTATTTATAGGGAACATGTAGGAGATGTCAAAATCCTCCTAGTAGAGTTGTTGATGAAGTAGGATATCAAAAAATCGAGTCCAAAACAAATTACAACTTCCAATGGACTTCCAAAATAAAACTTCAACTTGACATAGGATTCTAATAGCATTCCAAACTGAATTCTTCTTGATGTACACTTCAATTAGAATTTTTCAATTACTTCAATAAGGAATTCGAATCACACCCAAATTCTAACATCAACTATTTTCAAAATTGCTATACAATTTGAACATGGATGACAATATACAAAGTTGCCTTTCATTTTAGGAGAATAGGGAAAATGAGAATAGGGCTGGTGTTTTTGTGGTTCGTTTCATTTTCATTTCATTGCACAGATCGTAACATTAACTTTGATCAGCATCCCAATTTTCTCATTTTCCCTCCTTTTGTGGATACAGTATCTGTTGTAAATGGTTCTTTTTAGTTCGGGAATATAGTCGCCTGTACTAAACTCCGAAAATTTTTCAGGCTGCACGCGCAAGCTCTTACGCTGGCTGCACTGGCTGGAGCTGCAGTGGTCGAGTACTATGACCACAAGGCTGAAAAAAATGCAGATCCACATGCTAAGTTCCTTCCTTTGAATACTTATTCACAAAAAGATTAGACAGACAAACTACATTGTGGAGGCAACAGATGTTTCTTGCAAAAGTCCAATGTTTATCCCTCTCCCCAGGTCTAAAAATACAATTTTTTATTTGTAACACGTGACATTTTTGTGTTAGGATTATTTATTTCCATTTTTAATAATTCATTCATAGGTGACCTATCCTGTACCGTGGTTTCATTATTATTAAATAAATGGTTATAAGAATGAATTTTTTTCCCCCTTTCCTATATGACAGTTTAATTTTCCGTACATTTTTTAAAAAAAGGGTGAATAATTAAAGCTGATCAATAATTTAATACTAAAATTGTACATGAAAACTGAACAATGAATCTATATATTTACCAAAACTCTTCTACAAAAGTTACAAATAAAAACTTACATACAGAATCCTCACCACTTCAATTAAAATGTGTTGACTTGAACGTGGGCTTTCTAACTGATACCAACTGATATAGAGTATTATCACTACTTTACCCAAAAGATATAACTTAGCCCTTGTTTGTGTGCCATTTTTTGGCATTACATTTATTTTTCTCACTTTTCAAAATACGTACTGTCAGTAAGCAATTCAAACACTCCACCGTCTCTGTCAAAGGTAAGCAATACCATTATTACTGTTGAAAATTGAATGACAAAAATGCCCTTATCTCATTTTCATATTTCCACAAATGTCCTTACACTGGTAATAACTGTGGAGTTCAACATTGGCAAAAAGGTGGGAGGGCAATATTGACATTTGTGCTTAAATGGAAAGGATTAAAAAATTGAGAATGCATGTACATCTTGCAAAGACGAGTACAAATTTAATAAGAACGTGTCAGTAGATCCCACTAGCCCACACTTTGTTACCATGGAAAATGAAATTTAATGAAAATAAATGATGCCCAAACAGGGGCTTAAAGAGAAGGTGCAATTTGCCTTGTATCACCAAAAATCAAATCCGAGAAGCCACTCAAAATTCTATGATTTTTATCGTATAAATTTTGCTATTCTCAGACAAAATAATTATGAAATATTTAGATAATTCAAGAAAAAATATAAAGTAAAGTTTATATCATAGGCCACTTGTTGAACGCTCTATTATTGATCTGGACTTGAAAAGTAATGTTGTAATTAAAAAAGCAAAATTCAACAATTTCCACCATACACATTACTTTATTTTTATTTATTTATTTTGTATGGCCAAAATAAATGGAAAGAGTTCAAAAGTCAGGGATTAACTATACATAATTCAAAAATTAGGTTTTAACTTTGACTAATGCAAAAATCAGGTTTTGGTTAATTAATTAAAAATATTTATTAATTAAATATAATAAAATCACAGTTATATAATTAATTGTCATATATATATAATTATAGGTCAAATGTCACATATTTTAAAATTAATTGATCACAGATTATTTCGAGGTCACAAATTTTTAAATTAGCTGGTTACAGATTATTTTTGAGTCACATATTATTAAATTTTTAGGTGACAGTTGAGTAATTGGTCACAAATTACCAAACATTTGGTCACAGATTACCAAATATTTGGCCACAGATTACCGCCACTACCACCATGGCCACTTTCGACCACCATCTCCACGTCTCCACCGCCACAATAACACCAACAAAGCCACCGACAACCACCTCCACCACCAAACAACCACTGTCACCGCTACAACAACAAAAAATACCATCGCCACCTGCACCAGTAGAACCTACCACCATCGCAGCCTGCACCACTAACAAAAATCGCCGCCGCAACACCACCACCACAACAAAAAAAACCTTGCGCCTGTACCACCACCACAAACAAAACGCGGCGCTTGCACCACCACAACAACCAAAACTGCGGTGCTGTCAAAGAGATGGGAGAGAGAGAGAGAGAGAGAAAGCAGATCGGAAATCAAAAGCTGTTCTCAGCAGCTACGCCATTCTCAACCACCACCATCGCGATTTTGGGATCAGAATTGCTAGCTAGTCGACTTAGATTCTAGCGAATAGAGCGCCATCATGCGTGAAGATGAGCGTCGCCATCGCAGTGTTATCACCATTGCATGCGACACTCACATCGTCAACTCCCAGTGGTGACGCCGCCGTGCAGGCGGTTCTCTTCCAAGGTGGCATCGCTACTGTTGAGAGAGAGGAGAAGACGGGTGCGTTTGGAGGAAGAGAGAAGTAAGACGGGGAGGGAGAGAGGAGTGAGACGGGCTATTGAAATGATTTAGGTTTAATTAGGGTTTTAATTATTAATACTTGATTTTTGATTAAATAAATCTTAAATCTGATTTTTGAATTTGAAAACTTAAACGCTAGGTTTTATGTAATTTTCCCAAAATAAATTTTGAACTGCAGGCCATTTGGGCTAAATCCCAAAAATACGGGCCTCACCCAGATAGGTTCCTAGGCCCAATTCAACCCCATTATAAAATTTGGGATTGCGTAATTATTCATCTGCTCATCTCGCGGCTGTCAATCTCACTTCTCAGCGGGAAGAATCCGCTTCAGGTCTGCTCGTTTTACTAGCTGAATATTCATCTATTGTATATTTATATATTCCGTTGGTCATGTATGTTTGATTTTTTCTTCCAATTTGTTATTTTACGGAATTATTTCAGAGTTTGTTGTGGAAGAATTTGATTGAAACGGAAGAAAATGAGTAAAGGAGGAGCAGCTGGCGGCGCTGTGAAGGGAGGGAAGAAGAAGGCATCGACCTTCGTGATTGACTGCTCGAAGCCAGTGGAAGATAAGATCATGGACATTGCTTCTCTGGAAAAGTTCCTCCAAGAACGCATTAAGATCAGCGGCAAGCCCGGTGCCCTCGGTGACTCTGTTACTGTCACTCGCGACAAAAACAAGATTACTGTCGTTGCCAATGAGACCAGCTTTTCCAAGCGGTAACTCTATAATTTTACTACTTTTAAATTGATTGTGCTTTTTCAGAAATGTTATTTGATGGTGAATGAGCTTTGACAAAATATAGATTGAATGCGTTGAGAGTTAAGCACCCGAGAGGAGAGATTAGTTTAAGCTTATGAAAAAAATTACTTTTTGAAAATTTGGGTCTGGTATATCTGATGTTTGAATCAATTTATCAATATTGTGCCAAAGTAATAGCAAGCTGTTCACGCCTACAAGAATTGGACATTACGTCTCACTAAGATACAATGTTATCGGAATGCTAATTTACAATTATCAAGGAATCTTGAGGAAAAGGTTGCACATATATGTGTGAAACTAAAAGGAAGTAATTCGATGGGATAATGAGAAGAATTCCTCATAATGAAGTTAATTCTTTATTTCATGTTTTCAGTAGTTGCTGGATATTCTGTCTTGCTTTTTATTCACTACTCATGTCATCGTATAATAGTTACCATTTTCAATCTTTCAAGGTAGAAACTTATATTTCTTGGGGGAAGTAGAGGTTTAGATCTTCGGCCAAACTGGTGTAAAGCTGAATAGAGATTAACGCATAAAGGAGTTAAACTTTTCATGTCATTTAGGAGTTATTGTGGTGATTACAAGGGCTTACTTTAGTTTGACAATGCCATTCGATCTATTTGTGGTGTTGTTTCTTGTTCAACGATGCAATTAACTGGCTTGTAATTTTGATAATCACTTTGTGCTCAGGTACTTGAAGTATCTGACGAAGAAGTATCTGAAGAAGAACAACGTGCGTGATTGGCTGCGGGTGATTGCTTCGAACAAGGATAGAAGTGTTTATGAATTGAGGTACTTCAACATTGCTGAGAATGAGGCTGAAGAGGAAGAGTAATGGAAGAACAAATATTATTCATATTTCCCAAGTTGATTTTTGTTTTGCCTGTGTTGGACATCAATTTCAATGTTTTGGAATCAAAGGGTTTAGATGTTCGCTATATATGGAGTTTAGCTATAATTTCGGTGCATGTGAATTATTGATAACATTGTTTAGTTGCACTACCAATATGCCGTAAACTTCATTTGCAATTTTGTTATCTTGTGAATTGGTTATGAATAACTCGTGGATTTGCTTGGACGGGGCTGGATCAGATTGTGAATCGTAATGGATGTAATGCTATTTCATTTAAGAGCAATTGTTATTCAAGCAAGTTTGCATTATTAGTGCCTGCGACTTGGAATATTGCCTTCAGCCCCATTAAGCATTGGTAAGTTAAGTTGCACAATTGGGGATCTATGCTAGGTTTTTGTTTCATGTGTATGAACAAATGCTCGAATGGCAAGTCGAGCATACCTAAAAGAAGAAAAAAATCGTGGTGAGGAAGGTTATAGTAGCTAAAGCCACTTAAATTGATCGGCTCTGGTGCATAAGATGAGCTCTGTTTTCCGACCATGAGATAAAATTTTCAAATATTTAAATATAAAATTGTAACTAATAATAATAATAACTGTTACGAAAATTTCTGAAATGTGAAAAATAAAAGAAGTGAATGTAGCCAAACCAAAGTTGAAGAAGAATAGGGATGCTTAATGGTTTTGTTGTGTATTCATTTATGAAAATTTCTATGCAGTTACATTAAAAAATCGTTTACACTTTTTCGTATATAAACTTTCAATTTAAAATTCAAATTTAAAAAGGAAGTTATTTAACTAATTCAAATAATAACAATATATTTATTTTAAGAAAATATTACAAGAGAGGATCCTCGAGATGTGAGGATAAAAGTAAGTTTACCAAACATGTACTTAGTGCATATTTGTGCGTAATGCCGACACTGTAATGAAAATTTAGAATTGAGAAATTTTATGGTTCAAATATTGAGTATTTTCTTGTTTCTTAGACGTGTCTACTATTTAAGCAGAACACCATTACGTATTCTAACTAAGAAATGGAAAGAAATCTCAAAATTGAAAGAAAATGTGGAAAGTAAAGAAGAAACAAATGCAAATGTAAACGGGAATATATTAAATAAGACAAAGAAAGACTTTTCCAGCTTGAAGAAGTAGAATAGCATAAGCAAGGGAATAATATGATTCATAGGTAGGAACGACAAACAATAAAGCCAAATATCGACATCGACAAAGATGAAATTTGGTCAACAAACAAAGGAAATTATAACGCTTCCTTTTTTATGTCGAAATAGATCCATGTGAGGTTTTTTCAGTTGTGACAGAAAAAGCTGATTTCGTAAGCGCTCTTCTTGAAATTGAAGCAATTCTCGAATTATCTCTTAGGTCTAAAGTCTAGATGAATGCAATGCCAAACCTATAAATAAACCTTTGCAGGATGATATTATGAACCCTAATGGAGCCAAGGAGAAATCAGTTTTCACTGAACGATCGCTTGAGTTTATAGGCTACATTTCCTATCTGCATTTTTTACAAGGTCAACTTTCAAACCAGGCCAAGCCTTTAGGTTATTTAAGTAGGTTTGGGAAATAGAAACAATTTTCGGAATGAAGGGAATTAAACAAGAACAAGAGAGATTCGTCGAAAAAATCCTTCTTCGTTTTTAGGAAGTTCAATTTGATTATGTTTTTTGTAACTTGTAAATTTGTTCAGCAGATGGAACTAGTTTTTAATTTAATTAATTAATTAATTTTGGTTATTTTTGAAATTAGTTCTTTGACAAAGTTATGAATTTTTTCTTTTTTCATATGATCTATCGAGAAGTAATATCATTTTATTTTAATAGCAACTAATTCATTAAATTCCAATGAATCTACTAAAAATTATAAAATAAAGTAATAATAATATCTTGGAACTATATTCAAATTCGTGAGAATCGATATATTTAAAAAAAATAAAAAAGAATCATTAACCTCTTAAGTCAAGAAGTCTCTTTAACTTTACAGTTCTATTAATATTCGAAATCAATAATTAAGGAAACTATAATAGAGCTTACATAATCTGTCTGAAATACGTAGTTTGAAATCCTATTCCCTGTCTTCAAAGGAGAAGTTCTGTTCCTCTATAAATATGATTGGATTGCTTCATTATTTCTCTACCCGCAAACACAATTCTTCGTTTTCCTTTCTCGTTTAAGCAAATAGCAATGGCTAATTCTCGTCTGTTTACCTTTCTTGCTTTGTTATTTCTTGCACTTCCTCCCATGAGTAATGCCCTGAATGTTCTTCCGAAATTCCGTTATTACAATACCTTGAAGGGTTATCAAATCGATAAAATATATCAAGTTGGTGATTCCATATCCGATACCGGCAACTTGATTCGAGAGAGCGCAATGAGATATCTTTCTCCGTTTGCAAGACTTCCTTATGGCGAAACTTTTTTCAAGAAAGCAACTGGTAGATGCTCGAATGGCCGGCTGATGATTGACTTTATTGGTAAATCACGATAACTAATTTTTGTTCTTGAACTAATTAAAAAAGTCACGATAACTGAGTGAAATTGTACTGTTTTACAGCATTGTCAGCTGGTCTTCCATTACTAAAACCTTACAAAGAAGCCGGAGCAAACTTCGCACACGGTGTAAACTTTGCAGTAGCAGGGTCGACGGCTTTACCGGTAGAAACATTGGCTGCTAACAATATTTTATCTCCAGTAACCTCAAGTTCACTTGATGTACAATTGGATTGGATGCATTCGCATTTCAATTCTACGTGCAACAATCAAACAGGTTGGTAAATCATTCATCAAGATCGAAATTAAGATGATACATTCTATTAAATTTTCTTGATTTTTTTTCTTGATTTTAGACTGTGCCGAGAAGAACGTGAATTCTCTTTTCATGGTTGGAGAAATTGGAGGTAATGATTACAACTACGCATTATTCCAAGGGAAATCCATTCAAGAAGTAGAAGATATGGTACCGCAAATTGTTGGTACCGTTGCGAATGCTGTCAGGGTGAGTTATTCTTTTTCTTAGACATTCTTCTTGTTTTATTATTTCTTTTCTCTCTTATATTCTAATTGTACATTCTTTTTCTGATTATATATATAGAGAGTAATTAGTTTTGGGGCTACTCGAGTGGTCGTCCCTGGTAATTTCCCCATTGGTTGTCTTCCAATCTATCTCACCGGTTTCCACACAAGTGACTCAACTGCGTACGATGAATACCATTGCCTTAAAAGCTTGAATAACTTCTCAAAATATCATAATGAGCACTTGGTACAAGTCATCGAGGAGTTGAGTATTGAACATCCAAATACTACTATCATCTATGGTGATTATTACAGTGCTTTCATGTGGGTTCTATCCCAAGCTGGTAAAAAGCCATTCCCTTGTTTTGATATATAAATAAATTTTTAGGAACTATTTGTAGTTTAGGTTGTTACAATGGTTAATGAGTTTCATATCCTTAATTTTTGCAGGATTTGATTTGAATTCTTTACAAAAAGCTTGCTGTGGACGTGGAGGAATTTACAACTTTAATCTAAGGAAGATGTGTGGTTTTCCAGGAGTTTCTATCTGTCCCAATCCACGCAGATACATGAGTTGGGACGGGATTCATCTGACTCAACATGCATATAAATTAATGGCGGGATGGTTGATTCGTAGCTTCTTACCGAAGTTGACAAAAACCATGTTCGAAGGCCATCAAATTGTTAATTTTAGTACAGATTAATGTTCCAGTTTTCTGGTCTTTAGTTCTATGATGTTTCACTTTTTAGAAATTATAGTTTGATAGGCTTCTTGATTGTATTGAACTTATTTCAAGTTTTATTTTAATATATAGTTTGGTTAATTGTTATTGCATTGAACAATATTGAAAGAAAATAAAAAGTTAACTATTGTACTATTC